GTGTAGTTTTATAATCAAACAATGCAGAAGTAATTAATTGTCCGTCACTTCCTAGCAGTTCTAGATTTGCAAGTTTGCATGTAACATTTTAACAACAAAGACTTAGAAGAATAAATTATCCTAACGTTATTTCAATGATCAAATTAACATAAGAATACCGAAAAGATTAATGTAATTGACGAAGAAAAACAAAAACGGGGTGCTAGTTGAAATGAAGGTTGTATTATCTTATAAAAGTAAGAAATGTTACGAGGAATCGCTTCCGCTTTTACTTCCGTTATTATTTAGGATGTAGCGCAGTGACAAGTATAATGTATACAGCGCTTTCTTGCATTTGTTTACTATGATATGTGGTAGTGAAAGACGTTATCTTTACAGTGTTTTCTTTATTTATTGTGTAATTTGGTGCAGTGAAATCTGAGATACATAGCGTTTTCTTGTTTTCTTCATTACAAATTGACATGCCTAGGGTTTTCTTATTTTATTCATTACAATTTGGCATACCTAGTGTTTTCTTATGTTATTCATTACAATTTGGCATACCTAGTGTTTTCTTATGTTATTCATTACAATTTGGCATACCTAGTGTTTTCTTGTTTTATTTACTAAAATTTGACGTATGTAGTGTTTTCTTCCTTTATTTATTACAATTTGACATACCTAGTGTTTTCTTGTTATATTTATTACAATTTAACCTACCTAGTGTTATTTATTTCATTTAATACTATTTGACATACCTAGTACCTTTTTTCGATGACGAGGAACCCACTTTGAAACTAATAATGGTTAGAGACGGCTTGAATGGGTAATGAAGAAAAACTTTAATATAAGTTTAACATAACAGCAAATGTACAACGTTTCGACAAGGTTTTGTCATCATTAGGTACTAGTACTTTCTTGTTTTATTTATTACAATCTGACATACGTATTGTTTTCTTGTTTTATTCATTACAAAATGACATGCCTAATGTTTACTTGTGTTATTTATTGTTGACAAACCTAGTGTTTTCTTGTTTTATTTAATACTAGTTGACAGTCCTAGTACTTTCTTATTTTATTGATTACAATTTGACATACCTAATGTTTGTTTGCTTAATTCATTACAATTTAGCATACGTAGTGTTTTCTTGTTATATTTAATACTATTTGACATACCTAATGCTTTCTTATTTTATTCATTACCATTTGATATACATAATGTTTTCTTTTTTTATTGATTACAATTTGACATACCAATAGTTTCTTATTTTATTTATTACAATTTGACATACGCAGTGTTTTCTTCCTTTATTCATTACAATTTGACATACTTAGTGTTTTCTTGTTTTATTGATTACAATTTGACATACCTAATGTTTTCTTGTTTTATTTATTACAAATTAACATAGGTATTGTTTTCTTGTTTTATTTAATACTATTTGATATACCTAGTGCTTTCTTATTTTTATTCATTACAAATTGGCATACTTAGTGTTTTCTTGTTTTACCTATTGCAATTTGACATACCTAGTGTTTTATTGATTACAATGTGAAATGTTGAAATGTAAACCTTCAGTGTTTTTTACTTTGTTGATTACAATATAGATAGAGAAATTTGTCATACAGACAGTGTTTACTTGTTTTATGGATTCAAATTTGCCATAACCTACAGTGTTTCCTAGATTTATCGATTGAAATGTAGTTGGTGAAATTTGATATTATACGTTTTTTTGGTTTTTTTTTTTTTTGCTATATTGATAACAATAACGTGTAGCTTTGTGCATAATTAAAAAAAAATCATATATCTTATGTTTATAGAAAGTTTACGTTACTATTTACAATATTAGTTTGACCCAGTGACAATATATCATAGCCAGTTTTGTTACGTTAATAGATATTTGTAAATCAACTTGAATTTCCGCTTTTTTTTGTATTAATAATTACTGCTCTTTCCAGCACAGTTTTACATAGAGTTGAGTACTACATATTGAAACAATTTTGAATATTTAAATCAGCAAGTCCTGTGACAACCACAGCAGATGTAAAGTCGCGATAAAACGGAATGTATAAGAACTGTATTTTGACTTTGTTTGGCGTTTTGTATGTAGTGTTATTCCACTGAAAGTTTATCTCTTTTGGAATGATAAGCAACAACTCTTTCCGACGCAAAATGTTCATACCCTAAACCACAGCAGATGTAAAGTCGCGATAAAACGGAATGTATAAGAACTGTATTTTGACTTTGTTTGGCGTTTTGTATGTAGTGTTATTCCACTGAAAGTTTATCTCTTTTAGAATGATAAGCAACAACTCTTTCCGACGCAAAATGTTCATACCCTAAACCACAAAGATGTGTTCATATCGTGGATTTTGAATTTCCAAGACGATACTATCTCTTATACTTAATGGCATTGGAAAACAAAGTAATGTGGATCAACTTGACGAATCCAAGGCATCCAGAAAGATACCTTCAATAAATCGTATCCCAGCCATGGTAAGCCAAGTGCGATGTTTTGTAACAGGTGAAAATACACGAAGACAAAGATCAGTGAAAAAAGCCATCCACGTGCCCCCGGCAACAATACCTAACATAATCAAGAAGGATTTCCGTCTGGAAAAGCAACACATGTCACGTGTACACAAGATGTTTCTACGACATATCTGTTTAACCGTCGCATACCTAAAGCAGCTGGAGAATGAAATGGATTATTCATGCTATTCCATAAGAAGACATAGAGGCGCACAGATTTATGTGCGATCAAACCGTTGAAGGGAGCTCTTGGAAACTGTCGTCCCAGTACATTAGATGAATTATAAACAGCAGTCAGGAAGTAGTGCTGTGCTTCGGACATGACAACATTACGACGGAACCTTTTGCAATAGAAACTACGCAGCAGGTTTATTGTAAAGAGTACGATTGGACGTGGTGACATAAGTTATAACGACGTGGTGTATTCCAAAATCGTTTTAATAGAATGGACTCCGCCTCTATAGTTCGTTACTAATGTTTACAAATCAGAATTAGTAGGTTTACTGTGTACAATCACAGTTATCTACTACGTTAGTATTGTGTTGTTTACAAGTGATAATTAGAGTACAATCGCCTGCTGTGCATATTAAAGCCAACTAATACAGTGTGGTATATAATGCTACTAAATAACCTGTGTTTTATATTAGTCCTGGGTAAAGAATATCTTAAATCTGAAATATAAATCTTAGAAGTAAAATTAATGATTATTTTTTTTTACTGTGATTTATCAGTATTTTGTATGGCTTAATCTCCATTATTTTACTTTTCATCCCTTAGACGTATCCAAAGAAACTTAGAAATATACTTTATCATACCGTTAATCTGTTACCCTCCACTTCTTTAACTCTGGCTATCTCTCAGACAAATAACTCACGCCTCGTTTTTTCAAAATACATTTTATATTACTGTTGGAGGTCAATGCCTCAATTATGTCAGTAAAATCACTGACTGAGAAACAGTAAAATTAATAACTTGCTTGTATCTAACCTGTACTTTATAAACTTTTCATAAAATAGAACGCTTTATAATATACCTACATATAACTTATAAATCTAAGCCTATGATTCTCTTCTCTCCACATCTCTCTTGTGTAATTTTGACGGCCATTTAACAAAGTAAAAAATTGGAGTATTTCCTCAGTGGAAAAAAAAAAAAGTTGCCAAGGCCAAGTTCAAAACAAGCCTATCTTCCTGTAAGGTTCAGTAACAAAGAAGAAAGGACGAACAGACAAGAGGAAAGGAGACATGGGGAGAATCTTCAAGATTTCAACATGTTTGTTGCACTACGACATCTGGCGGACAGATGTCCCGTGAAGGTGAGTGGCACCTCACTTCCGTCCCCTGTAGAGAAGACTTTCACTCTATCTTCTCAAAACTTCTGGTCATTTGTTAAACACAAAAATAAAAGTCAGTAAATTTTGAGAAATCTCAAAAATTTATCGTTGTGTTTTTAAATAACTACCGGCTTCTAACCTGTATCATATATCAATGTCGAACACTAATAGTGATCACTCCGATAGAGGTGTTTCGCACTGACCAATAGCTACTGACCCGAGTATTAATTCGTATATATATATATATATATATCGAACGTTATTGCTGACCCAGTTTAAAGAGCTGCTTCCTTCCGATGACCATTTACTGACCCTTGTATTATATATCTGTTCATATCGAACTTCAGTGTTAAACTATGTAGTTAAACTGGTAGTTAGGGTGCTCCGCTGACAATCTGCGGGTCGCGAATTCGAATCCGTCACCGAACATGCTCGCCGTTCAATAATGGGGCGTTAAAATGTGACGGTCAATCCCACTTTTCGTCGGTAAAAGAGTAGTCCAAGAGTTGACAGTGGGTGGTGTTTACTAGCTGCCTCCCCTCTAGTCTATCACTTCAAAATTAGGGGAAAATAGCACATATAGCCCTAGAGTAATTTTGCGCGACATTCCAAAACAAACAAAGACTCATGTGTGAAGTAATTTGAACTGACCACCACCCATTGACCTTATCAAATATTATTATCAACTCATGTGACAGAAGTGTTTTTTTACTGGCAGCTGACTGGCATTTAGTTTCCTATTATCGTGTCGGACTGATTTACACATCTCAGGCGATCGTGAAATAATTCACGTTCTGTTGATGAAAATCTTGAGTAGATTAAAATTTCTATACGAAACCGTACCACTTTATGTATTATATAAAATTATGAATTTAAGGAATATAATAAAAGGCCGAATATATTAAATATTGGGAAGATATATATATATATGTACAAGACATTTCACGAAATTTAAATTCTTACTTTTGAAATATATGTCCAAGTAAAATTAAACGTATCAACTGTCTAAAGCTAAACTTATACAACGTTTAAGAAATTTCTAGATTTTTTTTTCGTCAAAAAATTTCTATAAATTCTTACGGACAATGACAACCTACTTACCAGTAAATCTGTTGTAACACTGAAATTTTCTTTAGTGATTATTACTTTAAAACTCACCTGAATTGAAAAAACAAGCAGCTCCAATACAAAATGCTAGTCCACGTATGTTGGTGGTTTTCTAAATGCACAACGAAAAAAAAAACATAAACAGACAAACACGTGCTGTTGCACTTGCGTCTTTCTCTCTGCTCTCTTACGTTTTCGTGCTTTTCAAAAGAATAAAAAATGTTTTTCACTGCTCTATTCTTTGAACACTTGCAAGTCTACACCTCCATGCCTGTTCTTTTTACTGGGTTTACAACAGCGGAGAGGTGTTCAAGTTTCCCGGCGATTTTCTAACACCCCTTCTAACTAACTACTCAGCCCTCCTTGATCTGCAGAACTAACGTGTGCAAGCTAGAGAGAGAACATACAAGAAACTCGTGCAAATGGTCCTTTCAAGCACGCGCACTACGCACAGTTCGGTCCTCGGTTAATGACAAACTGTTTCATCAACTGACTAAGAGGAAGAGCAGAACAGTGGGTGGAGCCATTATGAGGGCGGTTTGGGAAAATGTCGGAGCGGAAAGTCCTCATCTCAGATTTCTGTGCTTCATTTAACGGACTGGTCGATTGATAGCAAAGGTAGGAAAGTGGGAAGACCTTCAAATTCATTACAAGAGACTATTAAGTGACCAATAAAGGGATAACATCAAGGATTGGTTAGAAAATACTATAACGGAGTTTAAGAATACAAGGACAAATAGTTGTGTCAAAGCTTGTTCACGCTGCCGTTTATAATTTGGCAAAATAACGATATTAACCTGACATGAACATGTATACTTCCAACTTCACAGAGGGGCTCAACACTGTATTAAAACTTCCAACATAATATTAGAAGAATGGTTTCGTTTGTTCTTTTGGTCTTTGTTTGTAATTAAGCACAAAGCTACACAATGGGTTATCTGTGCTCTGCCCACCACGGGTATCGAAACCCGGATTCTAGCGGTCCATCATTGGCTTTAATTATTAAAATTTCTATCAAGCGAAACTCTCCTGTAATTTATTCGTCTATAAAAGGGTTGTTTGTATTTACAATTAGCAAGTACCCTAAACAGGAGGATGCTTCGATACTGCTTACGCAGATTGAGAGTTTGACACCCTAACCACCAGGCCATGCCAGGCCTTTGATAAAGGTTGTTGATCTGATTATTAGAAATCAGTCAATCCTAGAAATATACTCTACGTAATTATTTCTTCTTGGGGATTGTATGTTGTTATCTTATTCATCGTTTTCCTGGAAATTTGACATTATTTTAGAAACAATTATTTCCAGGATTGACCGTTTTTATGATAATCCTTTTATCACATTCCAAATAATCAGATCAATAACCATGATTAAAGACCTGGGATGGCCTGGTGGTTATGACGCTCGAATAGCAAATTTCTGGTCGCGGGATCGAAACTCGTCGTCGAACATGTTATTCTTTTCACCCATGGTGGCGGTCAGTCCCACTATTCGTTGGTAAAGATAAGGCTAAGAGTTTGTGGTGGAAAGTGTTGACTGGCTTCCTTCCCTCTAGTCTACCACTTGACAGTTAAGGACAAATAACACAAATAGTCCTAGAGTAGGCTTGCGCAAAAATTCAACAAATAAACATTATCGAAGTCCTGTGTTATCATATCGTTAATATCTTGATTGATGGTTTCATATGAGCATATTAATAATTATTTATCGCAAGCCAAAAAAGTAATTCGATTAATCCTGTTTTCGGGGATTCTGGCGTACAAATAAATACATAATCTGTCGAGTATCCCTTGTAACATTATTTTAATACTCTTTCCTCAACTATATAGTTTTCTAAGTTCCTCAGTTTGTATAAAACGATTTTACTTAATCAAGGAAAGCAACTGATAAATGAGCAGCAATAAAGTAATCCCAATCCCCTATTATAAGGTACATTTTAGAGTTATGATTCACTAATCCAGTAACACATTGCAGTGGGGTAGGCACAGATATACAAACTGGGTGCTCATTTTTGAAGGAAATGGGAAATGAATGGCGAAGACATACTGGAGAGATCCGGGGACTTACCCCCCTCGGAAGAATTTTGTAGTTTTTACTGAAAATAATGCACTTGGTGGCATTTGAACTTTGTTACCACCTTTAAAACACGTTTTATACATAAACTGGTGCAGTTTAGGATTTTCAATTTTGCTTTAAAGTGCACATAAGCAAGTAAGGTAATCAAATAAAAAGGCACAAGCTCAAAATTAAATCTTCATTTCAATAATCAACAGAAGCCCTTAAGTAACATTAAAATGCGTTCTTCAGCAAACAAGTCCCCCGGTTAGACAGTGGTAAGTTTACGAACTTTCAACGCTAAAATTCGGGGTTCGATTCCAAGCGATGGACACAGCAGATAGCCCAATTTGGCTTTTCTCTAAAACAAACAAATCAGCCAACAACAATCGTTTTCAAGGAAATAAAAGTGTCCACCTACAAAAAGATATCGTTATAAATAACTTTATAAAATGAAACATTAACAAAAACGATATAAAGAAATAAAGTAGCTGTAATTGAAATGAATAAATAAAACCAAATCATAGTTTCTAAAACTAAATGTTTAGATTTTACTTTTTTCAATAGGATTTTAAACATTGCAATAAATTATTATTCATTAATTAATAATTTATTCTTTCCCAAAATGGGAAACAAGTGAAATAAGGTTAAGGTAATGATATATATTTATAAACTTGAAAACATTTCTTATAACACTCAATAGTATTTACTGTTAGTGTGGTTTTTAAACATGTGATTTTTGGAGATTCAAACATAATCTGAGATCTTTATTCTATTCGATATAAAATTCTTTACGAGCGGGACATAGTAAAATGTAAGTACAGGGTAACTCATTGCACATATTCGCGTTAGAAAAAAAACAGCAACAAGAAATGTGCTCTGTCCACCGAACCCAATATTTTAGCATCGTAAGGCTAGTCTATAAATGTACCGCGGACCCACTGGAGAACATTGAAATGTTAATAAAGTTTCTAGAATCACTGGAAAAACATCCGTTTAATGATCAAAATTACATTTCATTCACTATTCGCTAACTGGGACCTTGGTTGTCCATGTGATAAAGATGTAGGTTTCGAAGCTGCTGAACCGGGTTCAAGTCCGTGCGATATAAAACACATTTTTAGCTGGGAGTGCATTATAGTAGTAAAAGTCAATACTTTAGCATGGGTGGTAGATCGCTGTTGAAAGACTGCTTCCTCTGTGGTCAGAAGTTCAGCAATAGGAAAGACGGTAGATAAATCATCCATAAATACATATTTATTGGTCTTGGTTTTAGATAACCTAAAGTACAACTTATAATTCCTCTTTATGTATTTTTATCATTGTTATCCTAATAAAACGTGTAAGTTTAACAAAGTAAAATATTTTGATTGTATATAAGCACTAGTAATATTAAAATTACCGTGTTTTTTGTTTTGTTTTTTATTCTTGGATTGGCACAGCTCTATTTCAAATTTCAATCGATTAATATCTAGCATTAAGTTAAAATAAAAGATGATGCAGGTTTGACTTTAGTAAGCTTTGATCCAAACTGTTTCGAACGTAAAAAAAAGGTATTTTCACTACGTAAAATATCTTTAATGTTGAGAAAACACTTCCGCTATAAACTTAATCTTGAGCTCGTGCTTGTTTTTATTAACTTACGTACATAGAGAATCCAAAATAAGCTTCTCTATTATAAGTTCATTTATATCTTAATAGGATTTTCAGAAAACTGGGCTGGTTTTATGGGTAAACCTTTTTTTCTACGTTTATTGGACTGTTTATTTTGTAAATTTTTAATGAAAGCGAACTTCCCTGGTACTAGTAATATTACTAATACCCGGACCTCTGTCATATTTACAGTATATTTCGATGCACTAAAAGACGGGAGGCGTAACTATTAGATTCAGACAAAGATAATGTTATCATCAACACTAGGACTTTATTTATAGGGGTAAGGACTAAATTTTTTATTTATTTTTTTCACGGTAATTTAGCATGAAAAACGTCGGGAATGAGGGGTTAACTACTTCATAATAGCCATGAATAGTCTTCATGACTATATGTTTGCATGAAATATTTTTCGCAATCCCGAAAGGAAGTTTGAAAATTATCTGGATTGTAATAGGGTTGGCTCCTTGTTTTCAAGATCTGGTCGTGTCTCTTTCTTATCGCCGTTTTACAAAGCCATCTGGCAGTGCTTGATACTTCTAAGTGGGCCTATATTTCACTCTGTCTCCGCGTTCAAGCCCTTTGGTGGAGAAAGGTCATGCCTGAATATCAAAGTTAACTTAAAACCAGAATAAGAATTAATTTCATGCGGAAAAACAATGCAGTTCAAAAGTTGGTGATGTTGTAAAACTTTTCTACGTTTGTATATTGATTTTGCTAAGCGTTTTATAAAAGTAATTAATATCCTATTATTTTGCAGTCAAAAGCTTAGCGTTTTATAAGAGTAATTAATATCCTTTTCTTTTACAATTAAAAACAAATGTAAGCGTAATTAATATCCTATTGTTTTAATATCAAAAACAAAATCAAAAAATTTCCTAAGAATAATTGATATCAAGTTCTTTTACAGTCAAGAACCAATTATTCTACAGGATTATTTCTAAAGATTCTAATCCCCGTCCCACCAAACATACTC